ATCTTAAAACAATCAAACAATTTTTTAAAAATTTATAAATCACTCAAAAAGCCCCCAAGATTGAATTAAAATTATTATTAGAAATGATTTTTTATAATAAACAGAAATTTGTTGTATAATAATATTCATAACGTGATGTCTATTAATAAAATCCATGAAATTATATTTTTATAAAATTACACTGTAGCAATCAGTAAGTGAGATGAGAGTTAAAACAAATGTAATAAATTACCACGTACTCTATCAATCTATGGCGCCATATAACATAAACAGTTTTTTTCTTCTTTTCCTCTTTCTCATATCCATAAAGCAAGTATGATGATGGAAATATTGTAACAATATTATTGAAGATTTACATGAGCTATTAGAGGAATTGAATTTACATATATTGAAATTGGTGAGCAGATAAACATTTTAGAGTATACCAAGCTATACTGTCCAAAACTACAAATCAGAATCACTACGACATATCAACAGAACAAGAAGAAACTGACCATCATGAGAATTTATTAAGATAAAAGGCACATACGAATGAATGACTGAACTGTGTATGTATGTAGAGGGTGTGTGAGGTGAGGTTGAAATTTATAATATTGCATGCAATGATGTAAAAGAAAATTATATTTATGAGCTCATTCTTGTCGTCATTAAATAAGGGCAAATGAGAACTACATACAGAACTGAATAATAAGAATGAGAATGACAACATGGAGGACTTACAATGTTTATATCATGACAAATGTTAAATGACTTTTTTTTCTTTTCCTTTATGTTGATCCTCAAATACACAACAATAATAATATTCTACGCAAAAATTATGTTTATTGGACTTCCATCTCCTTCACTCACAATAAGAGATGAACATGAGAAGAAGGAAAGTCAACTGGAGGATACAAAAAAAAAAATATTTAGCCGCATGAGGCATGTTAAGGAAGATGTACTGTAAATGTACACAAGATGAGGAAGATTAAACCACTGAATAGCAATAAATAAGAATAGCAACAAAATGTGGAGAAGAAAGAGGCAAGCAAGAAGTGAAGCTGAAATTTCATTCATTTCATAATGAAGAATTATTTTGATGAGCATTTTGATGCTGTTCTGTTCTTTCCTTCATTTTCATGAGACGAATAAGAGAATGAATGTAAGGCAAAGAAGTTCGGGATCAGTATGAAGTCATGTTTTTGAATATTTTAGGGGATTTTTGAGGCTCATAAGTAAGATTTTTCTTTCTTAATTTAAGTTTATTTGATGTTAAGGCCATGTTGGGTTTACTTTGTATCCATTTGAACTGTCTAATATTCATAAATTCTGTTTATTTCTCATTTCGCCTCATAGAAAACTTTATTACAGACATTAACCAATGTGATATCCTGAATATTTCTTTCTTGGTATTATCTTAGTCTTTAGACAATTCCACAGCTTTTTGGCTGCAATTAAGATTTGAAAAGGATGTCCACATTACATTCATCATGTTCATAATTGCAATCATCATTTCCAATATGAAGTACATCCAAATAGCCTGTGTCATTTTATATCATTATAAAAATTACAGCTTCATGTGCATGAAATGAGAAATAATTCATAAATTGTTGCTGTATTAATCAATGTCAGCGGATATACAGACGAGATGCAATAAATGCGAAAAGCAGGCAAAGATTGAAGCAATAATTGCTACGTGAATGAAGCAAGAAAAATTACCTGATTGCCTGTCCGAATATCAATGAAATAATGCCAGAAGTGAGTGAGAAAGAAGAAAATCAAGCAGTGCAATTCTGTATCCATATCCAGTCAAAAAAAGAATAAAAGAACTGGAAAAGAATTAATGGCAAATTATGATTCGGAATTGTGTAAGTTTATGAAAATAAATCTTAATGCAGACCATCAGACATTCTCATGAGTATATCCAGAGATTCAAAGTACACAATTTGTGAAAGATGGAAGAAGAACTGAATTGCAACATATTTTTATGATTTACACAAACAGCAACAAATAATAAATGTTGTATGCTGAATGCTGAATGAATGAATAAGGAGCGTCAGCCAATCAATTTATTACGCGAGATTATTCCAAAAAGATCAGAACGAACTGAATAAAAATTGCTTTAATTTTTCTTATGCCATTTTCATTTCTTTGATTTACATTTTTTTTTCCTCTTCTTCTCTTCCTTTTTTTGCCAAAGAAATGATTTAGAACCATTTGAAGTCGATATATGATTATTTCATGCTGTTGTTATTTGCTACAAAAAGATTCGTTTGATATTCACCAAATAAAATTCTTCAATTCCTTCTTCTTTTCATCTAAACACTTCTTTGAAACCAGCTTTACTTTTAAGGTCAAACCAGGACAGACGAGAGGTTTATGTATTGATGATTAATATGAACTTAAGCAAACAAAGTTGGTCGGAAGTAGAAATTACACTTGATTGCTTGAAACTTCATTCAAAAGCAGACAGGCTGAGCTATGAGACTGGCAATCTTGAAGGACTTACAAGAATTTATATCAAACTCTTAAGTTGCAAGAACCTTCACTTCAACTTCGACCAATTAGAAAATAGTCTGTCTCAAGATAAGGTTCATTAATACAAGTATGACTAAATCCCATTAATCCTAAATTAATAAGTATAATTCAAAAACCGTTTTGGAAGAAACAGAAAAAGAGATTAGGTTCAAATCCTATAGAATGCTCAATAATCCACCAAAAATCAGACCTAACTTCCATCAAGTAGATTTTTCATTCACTTTATTTGAATTATTGATCAAGTTTATTGTAAAATGGAAAGAAAAAAAATTATAAGAAATAAGAGAAGTTCCAGTAATTAAAACGTCTGTCTGGAAAGGCAAAAGCAAAACCGAAGGAAATTTTGTGCGATTTGTGAGAACATAAATCCACATTGATAAATGTTATTTCTGCATTTTTGACATGTTTTTATGTTGAATTGTGTTCCTTTATTCTTCATCATAATCCGAACATCTCTCGATCAGTTCCAGAGGGAAATAAATACTTTTTTTCATGGTGGGAAGTGCTGATATCGATAATAAATTAAAAAGTGCCTCAACTGACTGCTTTTAATCGCCTCTCTTTCTACCTCATGTGCATGGAATCGATTGAAGTAATAATTATGTACTGCATCTTACTTTGAATATCTGTGCCTGCATACTTTCTCAATTTTTCATCAGAGACTTTAGAGATCAATTAAAATCAAATTTGGTCATTAGGCACTGTACATGAATTTTACAGAACAAAGCATGAACATGTAAGTGGCTTTTAATTTGCAGAACTCAACAATATGATTACCAACATGGGATGCAATTCCTAATGATAAAATTGCAGCATAATTCATAAGAAATGGGAATGTATGACTCAATTGTTCCTTAATAACTTCTATCTATAATTTGTGCATCGTTTAAATACCAAAAAATAATTCCTTAAAATTTAGAAATTCATGAAAAAATTGCTCGCAGCAGAATTTGTTGATAGAATGAAGCATATGAGGACCTGAAAAGCTCTTTTTGGAGAACATACAGCAATCCATAAAATGATCATAATTTTTATTTCTCATCTGCACTTTTCGCTAAACACCTTTTTCGGGTAGAAAATAAGCATTCACCTTCTTATTGCTATGCTAAGCACTCATTCTGTCTCATGATTCTCATGATGACTATTAGGATAGTTCCATGTTGCTAATAATTTTCATTTAATATCTCGAAACATTTTAGAAAATTTTATTTTTTGTTGCTGCTAAACCCAATAATTCAAAAACAAAGAGTCTGTGACTATACATGCATGCATACAATTATCTTTGTATTTATGTTCGAGAAATATGTTGAGTGAAAATTATAATATTATAAGTAAATATGATAATAAGACTGGATGTAGAAGTGAGAGACAAAAAAAAAGTTATCTAAATTCACATTAATGATGAAAATAATTTGTTATGTGTTTTAAGCTTTACTCACGATATGTTCTATCCAACTATATCTATTAATGTACGTACAAATACATAGGAATGGGATGGAACAGTTAAAACACATATTGAGGCATCATCAGTAAGAGAAATTAAGCAGGATATGGAGAAGGAAAATAAAAGAGAAGTAAATGAAAACATTAAAAGCATGTGGCGCACTTTTATTTATTTCAATTGCTATTGCCGCATTTCCGAATCGTATCATATTGTCACTTGTTGTATGTTCTGTAGATATCTTCACAGATATTTATTGTACACTTATTGCGTAATATTTTTGGAGGGGAAGGGGTAGGGGAGTTGAGATTTTGTGACAAAAGATTGTGCTACGTAATAACTTTACGGCTATCTTTTTAGTTTTTAAAACCTTTTGACTGAATGTAATTAAATCATTCTAGATGTCAATGAATTCAATTAAGTTTTATATCAATGCATGTGTGAGGCATTTATTGACACGGAAGTAATTGCGTTTTAGTAGCGTTCATCATAAATGCTTAATTTGACATTTGTTTTGTTGCCTTTGGTGACAAACTTCGGTAAACTTTTGCATTTATCCTCGGGTTTCTATATATTGAGTGATTAGTTCGTCCTATCCAGTTAGTCGCTTAAATTCTTTGTGGACAGTTAAACAATAATAAGTGGAAATACAAAAATTGTGGATATGGAAGTTTTTCAGATATTCTGGAATTATATTAGAGTTCAGTTCCAAAAGCTCAATAGATTTTTTGTGATTGACTCCCAAATAGAACTTAGTAGCTCTTTTGTGATACCTTTTTGGTTACTGAAAGCTATTGGATATGACTTTCGCAAGCTAAATGGTGCAGTTACATGCCGTGAAAGGATTAATATTGCTTTGCATTATTTTAACTACTGGTTTGGATTTTTAAACTTCAACCTTTTCTTCTTGTTCACTGAACTTGAATTATGGCATGGAAGTACAACAAATTTGCAAAAACGTCTCTTTGGTTTAACCCTTCTGATGACTTACTTCATTTGCTCATACAGAGTACTTTCGTTTTGGCATAACAAGTCAAAAATCATGGATATCCTCAACAAGTTAATAGCTTCTTATCCAAAATCTGGTTCGTCTACAATGCAAATCTATCAAAGATTGAAGATCTTTCAGGCAATTTTTGTTGGAATCAACAGTGTGCTATCATTAGTGACTTTAATTCCTGTACTAAGATGGAGAATTACTGGAGACCGTACATACCTGGTTTCATTTCCTGACTTCTTTTATTATGATAATATCTATCCATTTGGTCTACTATGGAATATTTATGCTGGTATATTTGCAATAGTCATGGTATCTTCATTTATGCTGTTAACATCAAATCTCATAACTACTATTTCTGTTGAGTTCTATTCGTTAAGTGATGAAATCAAAAACTTGAAAAACATGACTGAGGATGAAATTGAATTGGAGTTCCCAAAATTGATTGAGAATCATCAAAATATATTTCAGCTAGTTCAGGAATTGAGTGACATTTTTTCAAAGACATTTTTCTTTCGCTTCATTGTTAGCGCCTCAATTATTGGACTCAACTTGTTTCAACTTAAAACAACTGAGAATATTTTTGAAAGTTCCATTTTCCTCATCTATACATGCTTTGAACTTGGTCAAGTGTTCCTTCAATGCTACTTTGGTCAGTTTTTGACTGATGCAAGTGAAATTATTGCTGATGAAATTTACAATTGTGGTTGGGAGAATTGGCAAAAGATTAGTTTGAAGAAGAAGTTGGTAAATGTTTTGCAACGGTCTCAAAGACCAGCAGTTCTTACCATCTGGAAATTTGGTATTATTTCAATTAGACAATTCACATCGGTATGGCTTAAAATTTGAGGTTTAAAGGAAAGAAATTGATTAAAGATATTTACAGATCATGGACTCAGCATATAGTTTAACTTCACTGATAATGAATCTTAAAGCCAAATCATAAAGAAGCTCATAAACCACTACAAACTTCACAATCATCTTTTGTCCGGCCTTCAGATTTGCAATTTCACTCAAATCTTATTTAAAATTTATCAGAGAACATTTGCATGTGCTTGAAAAATAATTATTGTTTTCATTTCCTTTTTAAAAAGTTTATAGTTTTAGTTACCTTTACTGATTATTGATGTTTTAAGTATTCAAGCAATAGAATAAGTGTGAAAAACAACGCTATGATGAATTTATAAGTTGACAATTGTGAATTTTAATTAATTTATAAGCATTTTTTAATTGATTCAAATGATGTTTCTAGTTTAAATAATTTAATGCTTTTATGTGCTTCTTTACAATAGATTCACACTAAAGTGTTTAAAGTTCAAGTTGAGTTAGCTAGCCCCTTCATTTATATCATGCAAAGATAGATTTTCCTTAAATTCCAGATAAGCAAAGCTTCTAAAAATGTCTACAGAACCAATGAACAGATAAAATACTTTTAATGTGCTTATTTCACGACTACACAAATAAAGCAACTGCTAAGTTTGGACATAAATCATGCTTTATAGTGCTTTGCACAAGAACTTAGTGATAGTTTCATGCACGAGCATACATTATGATTTAAATTTAAAAAGGTCAAAAATTTTCCTCACACGACATAATTCACTTCCTTAAAATTTATCTTAGCGACACTCTAAGAAGCATAAACGGAAAGTTTTCATTAGCTGCTTTAAATAGATGCAACATCTTAATATCTTTTGTATACATTTCGCAAGAAGAACTTTTTAATTATTATTTGCACACCTTTTCCTATTGTCTTGCATTCAAATTTATTATCTCCAAAACATTTTTTTGGTTCTTATACTTCATTTCATAATTCTTAAGATTGCATGTGAATGCACATATGAGATTATTGTGTTTTAGAGGAACATGAAAAAATTAGTTTTTGATATTTTGTTCTGTTTCTGATTTTAGCACTGCAAGATCCTATTGGTTGTCACATCTACTTAAATTTCAAAATATTTAATGAAGTTTTCAAGAATCAATTGACAATTATGGAACTTTCAATATCTGAGGGTAGCTAAGATTTTTAATAATAACGCAAAAACCTTAGTGGCATCCTTACCAGGGATCAAAAATCGATGTACAACACCTTGGATTTGAAATAAAATTTAACGTTGGCTGTTCCTTATAATCTAGATACAATCTCCTGAACCAGTTAATAAAATATATCACTTTGATCCAAAAGAAGGCAAGCTATGAAGCATGGCAAAAAAGAATTTGAACAATAAATCTCTCAATAACATTCACAATCCACAATTTTTCTTTATATACAACATACATATCTGCATTTCATGATCTGCAGGTCATTTTAGATGTAATAGAAATTGAATTTCATGCAACGATAATAGTAACGGAGAAGACATCAACAGATAAATGTTTGAGATTTTGCTTTTACATTTTTGTAATAAAAAAATCCAATTTTTATTCCTTCTCATTCTCATTGGATATGAGATTGGTAATGATGCAACCGAACTCAATGATAATCATTTTTAAGCATATCGTAAGCCAATTCAATTGATTATTGTTATTATTATCATGGAAGTGATGTGAGGTAAGTAAGCATATAGAATAAAGTAAAGTAATTGCATATTGTTGAATTTACTCAAAGAGAAGAAATTCACATTTTTCGATTTTTTTACTGGCATCAACATAATCAACAGTGAATGAACAAAATGAAATTTGAGAGAGATTTTGAGAGAGAGTAAATGGAAAAGTTGTGTTATTGATATGAATGAATCAATGAATTGTACATTGCAATCATAAAAGGATGTGAAAAGTGCTTTTTGTAAGCCATAGAAAGAGCATAAGCTGATATCATCGTACGTGAATACATCCTCTTTTTCTTCTGATTTATGCTGAATTCTATATTTGATTTTCTTTATCTCTCGTTGCATGCTCTTGACATAATTGACTGGATATGATGAAAAATATTGAATTTGTATTAGGATAATGTTAAATGTGCTTATTATTATATTTTCTGGACATCAGTAATTTACCATATCTGTAGAAACTGCATTATATAAATGAAATAGTGATGAGTTGAAGGTTTTATTGGAGTTGCTGATATATTTTTAAGAGTTTTGAGGTTATCTATAAATGAAGTTCATCAAAAACTTATTTTTTCAAACCTTAAATCATCCAAAAATGTCTAAAATGAAGAAACATGGCTCCAACCTCATCCCGTATTCTTAAAGATATTAGACGTCACTTCTGAACAACCCCAATATCAGAATTTTTTTAATTTCTAAAGAAAACATTCCGTCCCATAAAACCAATCATAGTCAATCTGTAGCAAATATTATAAAAGTTTCTCAAATTAAATTTCTGGAATGTGTGGAAAAGAGTATCAAAATATTTAAGTTTGCATAAGAAAAAGATAAAAAGGCAAAAATTATAAACAGCATATAAGTAAACAGCGAGGCGGTAAAAACAAAGATGTGAGTTTGTGAAATAATTAAAAATGAGAATTTTTCTCAATCGACGACAAATTTATCTTTTTCTTTTCTCATTTAGTTGTGCCTACCTTTCCGTACATAATATTCATTTGGAGTCAAAAAGTAAGTAAGAAAGTTTGCAGTGCTAATAAATGTGAGCAAATGAACAAGATGACGAGCACAAGGTAGAATAAAAGCTAATAATCGTGAAATTGAAGCGAAACAAATAATTAATTAACATGCCGAGATATTTGTGTTTGTAAAGTAAACGAGTCTGTTGCTGTATAGCAAGCAATAGCAGCAAAAAGGCAACGTAGAAATTTGGAAAATGCGATCCGATAAAAAATTTTAATGTCTGATAATTGAACAGATTTTTATATTTAAAGTGAGGGAATCGCTTTTTGATTGTTTTAATGACTCAAACGGATCCCATTTCATTCCTTGTCTGCTCATCTTCAATCTCTCATTTTATTAGCTGATAACGGAATCAAGTGAACGAATCGAAAATTATTGAAATTAAATTAAACAAAAAAATAAGCAGCATCAAGTTTTTATTGCTATTCGGCACCAGAACAAACGGTGACTTACTCGATTACAAAGTGAATTTTGATGTCGTCGACTGACTCAGTTCCTCGTTTAATTTAATTTGTTTATCTTTCAGCCTTAATATTTTCATCAATTAGGCATACAAAAAAAGAATTTCTTTTGTTTATGAAAATTAAGCAAAATTATGAAATGATGATGATAAATCGGACTCATGTTAATCACATTCATATTCCTTTGTGGATTGTTCCATACACAACACAACATAAACACTCATGTATAGAGAATTATTCAAGGATATTCATTTTGAAAACATATAAAAATTATTTATGAAAAAGGCAGGCAGGCAAGAAAAATTAAACACAAATTTTGGAACTTAATTTAATGATGAATGGCAAAAGTTTTAGGCCAACATGAGGAACAAAATAAAAAAAAAGAGGAATTAATTTATTGGAAAGTAGCATGAAAATGCCATAAATGTGGACATTGATTTATAATGAAAAACTTTATCAACATGTGAGCATATTTCAGGACATAAAATTTCCATGCATGATGCACAGAAAAAATAAACTTTTTCAGTCTTGCTGTAATTAAAATTTCTCCTTGCTGTTCATTCTTATTTTAATTGATTTTAAACTCATCACAATTAAGTCATTATAGTTATTGTTATTAGTGGTGAATCACGAAGTTAAGTGGTTTGGTTATAGACAATAAAAGGAGGTAGGCTGATTTAAGATTTATTTCTTTTTGATGAACATTAGCACTTGAAGAATTAATGCTAAATTCAATTGTTTAAAAATAAAAGTTGATGATTTAGTCCAATTGCTTAACAGAATTTGCTATTGACTTTTACTCCACTAAAGCATCCAGCTTAAGTTAAGACAATAAAATTCAACATTAAATCTCTACCAAATATTGACATCTATTTTAAAATATTTAACCTAAAGATCTCACAGGTCAAAAACAAGTTTCAAGCTACTTTATAAATATATTCACAGAAGCAACACATTTGTCCACATACTCATAGCCTAATCTCTTTTTGATTTCTTTGCTTCTGTTGCTGTTAACGTTCGCATCACGTATGATTATTACGGCATTAAAAATTCATTTCTCTTCCTCAATATGTCTCTGGTTTCGTATTGTTACTATGCCTTAAAATAGCTACTGTTGAGTGTGAATTTCACTTCGTCTACAGTAAGAACTGATGGCAATAATTGTCAGTACAAATAAATATTTGTCATGCAATATCATTTGACTGATTTATTACAATTCAGACAGGCTTTAGTATTTTTTTTTTTTTGAAAACAGATTTCTTTCGAACCTAATAAATGTGTTCAACACATGCATCAACAACAGAATTCATTTTATATTTTTTGGTCTTAGTGAAAGCGTAACATCATTGAAATTGATTTATGGAACCTATCGGGTGTTAAAAATTTGAATACAATAGAAATGAAGTAATCCTCTAATCTTGTTTTCTTATTTGATACATCGGCAATATTTTCAACCTAATATTTCACTTTAATACATACTTAATATGTATTGGAACAGCAACAATAACAGACAGCAGAGAAATAAGAATCAGAAAAATTCCCTTTGTATTATTTCGAGGAAGAAAAATCTTTTTGGACAATAAAAGACATAACTCGAAGTAAGCGAAATATAAAAAAATTGAACAGCAAAAGCAGAAAGGAATGAAAGAAATGAAGAACAAGTCGAGTTATTCAAGCCACACATTCCTCATTCTTCATTCTGCCATTGATTGGAATGAAAAATTTTTTTTTCTTTCCACTTCTTCCATAAGCAGTGCCATTGTCTCAAATCACATAAATCATTCATTAAGAAATGAAATGAAATTGAATAGATCGACTTAAC